TGTTCTTTTCTTCTTCCAACTGTACACAAGAGATATGTAGACTCAAATGATTTTTTTAGTATCTGGAGTAAAATAGGGAACTCCATGTTACCCCGAGCATCTGCTCCATCCAGACTTATATTAAAATCAAATAGTATAAACATAAGGAAGACCTCTTCAAGTCCCCAACTAGGTGTCCCCTTTGAAGCAGTGAACCAAGGTTTTAAAAAGCATAGAAATAGCTTAAATAAAAGCTGCACATAAAATGGTTTGGGCAAGGGGTCTAATTGCTCATTCATTTCTCACATAAAAGCTAGAACCTGCACCAGTTACAGGAACAAACATTTTCTCTCAGCAATATTCCTGCCAAAATTTATCTCCTGATTTTGTCCAGGAACTATTTAAAATCAAAAGTTTACAAATAACCAGAATTTATTACCACTTTACATTTCAGATGATGGAAGTCTTTACTTTGATTAACGTTCCATCTAAACTGGCTCTTTAAGAATGTTAAAGTGTTTTGTCCTTTTTAAATTTAAAAAAAGAAAAGCATAAACCATTTTGGGAGAGAAGAGGAGGGATTAGCCCTTCAGAAGTTTGCACAAAGACACACAGAGCTGTTTTTCCAATAATAAGGGCAAAAATCTAAGCTGCCATTTGCCCTTGGGCTAAAATATTTGTTGATGCAAATACATCTGAGTGGGAATTTTCACTGAAAAAAAATTATCCAAGGGGAAAAGGAATAGTATTCGGTGAAGTTTTGCACTAATTGCTTCACAGGTTGTATTGGAGAAAATACAATAGTCGTGAATGTAGAATATGGGAAACTACTAGCATTTCCACAGGGATAAAATACAACTAATGAACTACATGAACAACAGACACAGAATACAAACTCAGGGGAAGATATTGGGATCAAACATAAATGGGTATTAAAAAAACATTACCACAGCACTATGTAAATGCCTAGTTTAGAAAATGAGAAATTGTTCAGATGTAGAAGACACAATAACTTTATGCAAAGTCCCCCTGAATTCTGCCTGTGCATTACAATGTCTCACATGATACAGATCTGTTAGAAGATCTGGGGATTTTGTGTTTGGAAAGCTCCTTCCTGTAAATGACAGTTTCAAAAGTTTTCTACTTATGAATCAGAATGATAGTTAAACTTCAACCTCTTTGGGGAACCTTATTTAAAGCAAACATGGGAAAGCATTCAACTAGGTACTACTCTATTCCAGATTGAGTGATGCAATTTCAAATAAACACCTTCAGTTAATTGCTCAGAGTATATATTTTTTTTATAAGTTTAAGTAAGCCATTCTCAAGGAACTGTTATGAAGTAGATTTTGTAAATCATGCCCAAAATCCAAAACGCCAAGGAAATCTTCCTTTTTTTTGTTCATTGACTAACATGAAGGAAATGATATCTGTTCCTGGGTGGGACTGCAGATTAAAGTGATTGTCTGGCTAGATTTACCACTGTAACTTATACAAATATTTGAATGGAACAGCTGGAAATACTTGTTCTCTGCATGAAACATGCTTTATCAAGATGAGGCACATCTTCTCTCCAATATTACTGGTCCTAATGCAAGACTAAATCTTCATTTCAAGATCACCCTGGTAAGTATAAAAATTTCTATATCTTTTCTTATCATCCACAGAATGAAGCAAACACACATTAAAAAAAAGAAAGGTGTTATCTAATACTCTCAACGATTCCACCTTCAAATACGGGCAGACCTTAATTTGACAGAATAGTTGCTGTTTTGATGAAAGCTAGAAAAATCCACTAAGAGTTTCAGGCATTCATTTATTTCCTAACAATTTGCTTTCTAACAAAAGATGGGAAATCTTCCTCTTCTGCTTTTTATCTCAGTTCTGCCAAGCTCATCAACAGATTGTATCTTGAGATGCCATCTTTTTACAAACAACAGGACAAAGAAAGATATCCTTCAACTGAAACCACAACTTACCCTGCTTCCAGTTTTAAACATGATCAACGTTGGGTGCAATATTCCTAAAGAAAAAAGACTAGAAGTAACTGCAAGAGCTCAAACCAGGAAGCCTCATTTTATAATGGGCTCATTTTTTAGGATAAATGTTTGCTTTGTCATGAAAATGGGACTCCAAACTTGACTCAGTGATTCTGGGGCTATTCAGAAGTTCTAGAAAAACAAAGAGGATTATAAAATAAAAGCAAGCCTCGCTGCTTCATTTCTCCCTTTATTTTTCCTCATTCTAATGCATTAGGCTTGTGAATGCATTGCTGAGTCAGAACTCCAAACTCCTGTCAAAAATACTCAAAATAAAAAGTGCTTGCAGCTCCTATTGAGTGATGGCAACAGTTCCCCTGTTCTGATTACATATAATGATGGATTCGATTAAAGGAAGCCTCAGTGGAGCATAATGCCTGAAAATATGGGAACCATGCATGGATGAGGAATGTAGCCTGGTAAGCTATTATTCTATGAATAAATAGTTTTAACTGAAGTAATACACTTGCCATTGAGTAAAGTAATGTGTCTCCCTAGCTTTTGCATTTTAATGTATTTATTTGCAGACTTCCAAGGAAAAGGTTGCAAATGGCTCTGATCATTTTTGTAGGTTTAGCTAACTAAAATATTTTTGAATAACGCATAAACATACTGCTTATAGCTAGTAGTTTCTATATAGACTTGATTTATACATTCCATTTTGAGAAAATACAGGTAGCTCTCATTTAGTGACCAAAATTAGGGCCAGAAATCCAGCCACTAAATGAAATCATTGCTAACTGAAACTGCAACTGTGCTTACAATCTTTCTTCGGGTTTTTTTTTTGTTTTTTTTTGTTTTGTTCTACCAAACTGCAAAGGTCATAAATATGACAAGTAGTCACATAGTTTACTTTTTAATCACTGTCATAACTGGAAATAGTCACTAAACAAGGCAGTTCTTAAATAAGAGCTACTTGTATATAAAAAACTAATATTATATAGTTTGGGGTATTGGTCACAGAATATTTTCAAACCTGCCGTTGTTTAATCTAAAATTCTATAAGCAAAGATTTCAGTATGAGTGTCTTAGGATACTGCTTCATAGGATCTGACCAAGGACAATAGATGGACATTATTCTAGAAATATTCAGCAGAATCCAGGATAGTCCAAGAAGGCATGGAGACAGTGGACAAGGTTCATGTTTCTTTCCCTCAACTCACTAGGAAAAGGTAGGAGTAAGCCTTAAAATAACAAAACCCAAGTTTTACCTGCACCATTCTATGCAAACTAGGATATCTAACCTAGAAATTAGGATAGAATATCTTTATTGTCATTGTGTAACTCACAATGAAATTAAGTTAACTTGTAAATCAACATACTGTTGCCTACATTCCATCACCTCAGAGATGTTAACTGTGTATTGCCAACATATGCAGTGTAAAAAAAGAAAATCCCATGCTAAGATCATTATAAAAGGGACAGAAAATAAAAATTCCTTTATATTTACTTCTGCAGAACTATTTTGGTATTGCATTTGAAAAAGAAGGTAGCAAAACTGGAAAAGTGCAAAAAAAAAGGACAACCTTGGTTATTTTCTTACAAGAAATGTTTAGCACTCATTAGCTTGGAAAGAAGACAATTCACACTCTTATCAGGTTGAAAGGATTAGCCACAGTTGCTCAGGGGATGCCCAGTTGGGGGCTCCTTTCATGTCCCTGGCAGGAGCTGGAAGGAAGCACAGGAGCTCATTCCGTCCCATGGCAGCACTCAGTTTTCAAACATGGGCTTGCTAATCACCAAACCAGTGTCTTAACCATGCGAGCCACATACTTCTAAAAGAAGACAACTGAGGGAAAATATATATAACAGTGAAGGCAAACCTTTTAGAGATCAAGTGCCCAAAAACTGGCCCCGCCCCCACTCCACCCCTGCCCCGCTCCGCCCCCACCCCACCTGCCCGCAAGGCCACTCACCACCTGCAGGGCCCGCCGCAGATCGCCCAGTAGCACCATGGTGGCCACGTCATCTGCCCGCACCCCGCAGCATCAACTGTGCACAATGGGGCGTGAGGGCAGAGTCTTGTCTACGCTGTCTGGCTGCCATGTCCTTGGATGCACTGCTCTGCGTGGGCCACGCTCGGGGGTGACTCTCCTCCAGGGGGGCTGCTGGTGAGGAGGGGGTCACGGGGGGAGGCAAGGCTGGGGCAACAGCATGTATGCCCACAGAGAGGGCTCCGAGTACCATCTCTGGCACCCATGCCATAGGTTCGCCACCACTGATATATAAAATCATACAAATATGAAATCACACTTATCAGGTAGCGAAAGCAGGTTCTTCCCATTCTAATACACAAGGACTACAAGCCATCTAATGCAGGTGTTTGGAAGGAGATTTAGAACAAACAAAAAGAAAACACTTCCTACGTGATGCATAATTAACTTGTGGAATAAGTCACATAAGTTACACATAGACAAAAATGCAGGATGGTTGTTAACGTCAATGCCTCTAAAGAGAGATTAGAAAAGTGCATTGAGTACAACTCTATCAAGATATAGGTCTTGAAGATTCAGTATTACTTGTGGGTCGAGTTCATACGTTTTCAAGGGGGAGTTTCAGGAGAACATCAGTGGGAGTATCTTTCCTTTGTCTGCTTGTGAACACTGAAGAACCATTTCAAAAAAACCAGCCCTCCACCCCTCACAGAAATAGTTCTTCTTTTCTACTTTGAAACTCCCATATGCCAGCTTCAATAGCTGACCTGAAATTTTAGGGTTTCAAAAATTGGAAAAAAATATCCCTAGATCTGCCTACTTCTTTCAAAAAGGAAGAAACAGCAACTTAGTAATATTAAGAGTTGACCATTGAAATCAGATTAGTTTTGACTGGTTAGTTATGAGTAACTTAAATCTGTACAGTTCAATGGGCCTATTTTAAGCCTGAATTCAATCCATAGTATCCAAGACCCGTTTCCCAAAATATATGGATATTAATAAGTATTATTACATCATTAAATCTGAAAAAAAAAAACAAGGCACAAAATATCATTGTGTCAATTTAATTAAATTTCATACTATAAGTGCTAAACAACTAATATAAATTCTGTCTAGAAACATTAATATAAGTAATATTTAATTAACAACAGAAAAATCATTCTCCCAGCAGTCAGACCACTACCACTATCTTTACATCAAGAAAGTAACACCTTTTCCTGCACATTTACTGTAAGTATGCTAGGAATCTACATTTTGTTCTCAAATATACAATGAAGTGTTAATAGCAAGATCCTCCTATAAAAATCCAGAGCAACTGATGATATCATATAGCTTGAAATATGCAGTAAAGTCCGTTTCCTTCTTGATAATGCCATTAAGTAAATTTATGTTTCTAAACTTCAAGTTGGCCCCAATCTATTTTGAGGGAAATACTTTTCACTTGGCACAGTGCATCTCCAGAACTATAACAAAACAAATAGAGTTAAATTGTTAAATCTGCAGTCTCATCACATTCCAATCACATGGTAGTAGCAGTTTATTTGATAGTTTCAATCACAAATACATAATACATAACACTAATAACGACAATAATAGCAACAACAACAATAGGATGCCATTTCAGATGCCTGGCAAGACTGAATGGTTCTAGGTTTTGGGCCTCCTAGTTTTAATACTATGCCATCTTTGGTGCTGAATAAGTTGCATTGTCCCAAACTGATAGGTGCACAATCTGGGAATCCTCCTGTACTTGTGGCAATCATGCTAGGAGGGTCTTTGCACAGCTACATGTTGTGTGCCAGTTGTATCCATCCCTGGACCGGATCACTCTGTTCATAGTCACTCATGCCCTAGTCACCTTCCGATGGGCTACCGTAATGAATTCTAGATGGGACTGCCCTTGAAGAATATCTGAAAGCTTCAGCTAGTGCAGAATGCGCAACACAGGCAGTTATATGTGCCTCTAGAAAAGCACAGTACACCTCTGCTCCATGGCTGTATTGATTCAGAGTTTTGACATGGGGCAGTTTATCTGAGAATCCACCTCTTCCCAACTATATCTACCCATCCCATCAGATTTGGCAGAGGAGACACGTTGCAACAGCACTTGGCAGCAAGTCTTCTCTGCTATGGCACCTGCCTTATGGAACATTCTCCCCCTTGAGGAGGATGTTAAGGTTTCAGAAATCACTCAAGACCTGGCTTTGTCACAGAGGAGAGGAGAGGAGAGGAGAGGAGAAGAGAGGTGAGATCTTCTTAATAGTAGTTTTATATATAAATTAAACAATAACTGAATGTTAACACTGGAAAGAGACAAAACCCTTAGTCATCAAGATTGCAATAGGCTGAACACAATGATAAAAGAATGATACTAGGACAGTCCGTAAGCCAGAAACAGAGAGTATAACAAATGAGATACAGAAATTGCTTAAGTAAGACTTCACTTAGTGATATAGTTTGACAGAAAAAACGATAGACCATAATTTATTTTAATTCTGAAATGTCCATATTTAATAGAAAATAGAAAAATATTATATTTAATGTGATGATAATAACATCACACATTTTATTCAATATAAGAAAAAGGAAGTCAGTATTTTAAAAAATCCTAAGTGGTAATAAGATATTTGTAATCAATGTAATCTTTAATTGGTAGAATTTTTTAAAATCTACAATTAGAGATTAGATTATAAAGTCTTACAATGCCAAATATAAGATATACTTTCTATGAGCACATTCCTCACTTATATCACCACCTATATCACCAACTTTCAACCTAACTTACCGAGCACTAATTGTTTGTATTATATTAAAATACAATAAAAAGTTTGTATGTGTGCAATATAAATGTGACCTTTGAACTCACCTGATGATTTGTTTGCTTTGAGAGTTCTCCTATCCTGCTGCCTGTTTAGATCCTGCAGCAGGAAGTACCAAGCTATCAAGCTGTTGACGGCTCCCTGTGTGGACTAGCCATTCATAGAATTTGTTCTCCACTAACATCTGGAATGTCTTCTTCTGATTCCTGAAAGCAGAAACAGGATTAGCTCTGTACTGTATACATTTGTGTAAATATTCCTATCGCTATGTCTTTAAAGTCAACATACACACTGCCCAAATGTTTTTATCATTATTAAGGGGTTTAACTTATTGTGCTATGGTTGAGATTTTTATAACATATAAAATTTTTCTAAGATTTTTATAATATTAAAATAAAACAGAATCATTAAAATCTATAAAAAAAACTTACAATCAAGAAAATATTTCAAAAATGCTTCTGCAAGTTATTGTGCTGTAACAGTTATAGGAGTCAAGTTCTAGTCCATGGAATATAAGTCTAACAAATCAGTAAACGGTGTTCCTTTAATTTTTTCATACCTAGTGGCAATGTCATAAAACTCAAAACTCTAGGAAATGAATCACCGTAGAATGCAACAAAATTTTAAAATCAAGTTTTTTTATTAAGCATTACTAAGCATTATATTCCTACAAAATACACACAGCTGGGTCTGTCCATTATGATAGTTGCTAAAACAGCTGAAATTTGGGTTTCTCTTTGACTAAGAATTTAGAATACTGCTTGATCTAATAATAAAGAGAGGCTTTCCCAAATTAAATAGAAGTCCATATTGTTTAGTTTGATTGATGCTTCTTGCATTTATTGCCTTTGCTGATAATTATCTGATTTTTGACAGTGGTTTTAAAGTGTTAAATATAATATCCTTGATATAAGTCCACCTTTATATGTGGTACTAATCTAGTGTTATTAATTCTTATTCAACTTGTAAACTTCTTCAATTTCTTTTTCATTGTTCCTTGATTGCATTTAAATCTATTTAAATCTATTACAACAAAATTAAATTATTTTGTTTTTATATTAAGGTTACATTATATTTATATTTTTATATTTCTTTCTATGAATATATTTTTCTCAAAAATTGCAAAATAATAATAATATGTATTAGGTATAAGTTTGTTCTTAAAACTATGTCAAGTGTATAAACTTGAAGAGTATAATTTATTTATTCATATAACTTAGCACATTTACTTAGTATTCTGAAATGCAACATTTCATGATATTTGCCTCCTTAGGAACAACAAGCAGTCAGATAGGTAATATGAAAAATAAAATAACTCATTCTTATAATTTTTCCACATATGTGGGTGACAAGCAGAAGCCTTGATTTTTTTTTTGATTTTTTTCCATCTTTTTCTAGGCTTTACATCTCTATTTAGTACTTAAGTTCAATTCATTTTGTACATAATAAAACAGCTTTCTTAAAAGTATAGAAAATATAAGTTCTGTTTATTATTTTTAGAAATTATTTATTTTATTCTAGTGAGCTACTCCAATCAAAAAAGCAAAATATTTATCATTAAAATAATTCATTAAAATTAATAGGAATAGTAAGGACAAAAAAATGCACCCCAAAAATGCATTTGTGTCTGATATCTTCCATTCAGAAAATATTGCCATGTGACTGCCTGCACCCTGAAGTATTCAAATTATTTTTAAAAAATCTAAAAAGTAGAGTGGCTTGTTTGCAAAAGATTTGTTCATTCACATTTATGATATGTAAGATATTTTGCTCATTAATTTTCTAAATTTTAATTTACAGCCTAGAAGCTGGATTTACTTGATAGGTGTAAAATTTGTAAAAACAGATTAATAAAAGGATCATAGTTGTCCTTGAGACTACAAGTTAAGGGAAAAGCAAAACAATATTCACACAACAAATTTTAATTATTAATTTGCATTAATACTGATGCATTTAATTCTAAAGCCATTACAAACCTGACTCTTCTTTCCTGGAAAATTAACTTTACTTACTTGGTCAGCCCTGCTTCCTTCACTGTTTTCTGCCAGATTCGTATCCTCTGTTCTCGTTGGCTCAGTGCATTCTGATATGCAGGTGGCAGACCACCAGGTATTTCAGTTGTGTCTCCCTCCATTTCAAATGGAACAACAAAGGGGTAAAATTCCGAGGGTGGGAGAAGTCTGAATACCTCTTTATCACAGTTTTCTTTACATACTATCATTGGATTATCCCAGTTGTTAGGCACAGTAGCTAGGCCAGTTCTGCCCATGTGATCCTCAAGCATTGGATAATGGGTATGGAAAGGAGCAAAAGTTATTGCTTGGTTACCCAATAATATAAGAGGTCTAGTTGGAGTGAGAACATGCAAGGTGCAACCAGTCGTAGATGACAGAGACAGATGATGGCAAACAGCAACAAGTCTGACATTGTCACAACTATGGAGATGTACTACAGTTTGCACTGGACCTAAGACAAAGGTGCTATTCCTGCATTTTTCTATGGTTACAGACCTGAAAGAGAGGAAAAAGAGCCAATAATAGGAGATGGAAAACAACAAAATGCAGTCATGCATGTACCTTTTCTATTAGGTGGCAAATAGTGACAACTGAAAAATAACTTACCTCAGTGGAGATAGTAAATAGATAAAAGATTCACAGCACCGATGAATCTTCACATGAGTATCTTCTAGGGTAATAGAGCTCTTTGCTAATGTTTGCTTGTAAACCTGGCTCATCATAATCAAACGATGAACTGAAGGGACTATGTGAGCATTACAGGCTATTTTAGCTCGTTTACTTGTTCCTTCAACTGGAAGAATTATGAAAATATTATTTTTAAAAAATAGTTCTACTGAAGCCAAAATCTCTCATTTAGCTGTATCTTATTGTATAAGATATAGCTGGAAATGCTCCACCAACTCCTATATACATTTTAATTAGCATCTTAGCTATATCTCTTCATAAATATGTTTATATTCCTTGAAGCTTATTATTAAATAAATATTTTAACAACTTTAGGGTATAAAATTTAACTAAAATACTAAATCTGGGCAGTCATGATGGAGATGTCCTATCAAGCAGTCAGTAGGAACTCTATGATCAGAAATAATTGTACCTTGTTGTGCCCATGCAAGCTTTCTTCCAGATGCGAGGCAGGCTATTGCCCCAAATGGGTTCCCAGTCAGACAAGCCCTCATCCATGACTCAAATTTGGCACAGGAGAAGGCTTTAGAAAGTTTTGAGAAGCCACTCTTGGCATGCAATGGCTGCCAAAGTGCAAGTTCATGAAGAGGGTGAATAGTCCTATTTTGATCCACACTTCCTTCGATAAGGAAACTAAGAGCTTGAACAGCTTTGGGTGATAGCAGGCTACTGTGCGTAGAATGAGAGGAGGCACTGAGCTGATCTGGGTCCAGTAACAATTCCAGAAGATCCTGGAGGTGGTTTTCGATAAAGTCATGGTGGTAGCTGTCATTCCAATTCTTCAAACCAAGCATAAGAACAAATATTAGAAACAAGAATCAATCCACAAAACCACATTTATATACTATCCTCTTAGTTTAAGTGATTCCTATGTTGGACTGATATCAAGGCTCTCAGCCACGGAAGCTCACTAGGTAATCCTGAGCCAATCATTCTCTCACCTTATCCTACATCACAGGGTTGTTGTTTGGAATAAAATAGAAAGATGGAGCTCTATGTACGCTATTTTAAGTTTTAAGAAAGTCCAGATAGAAACGTAAAAAAAATAACTATAAAGTAAGATATAACTAGAAGTCGTTTAATGTGTAGATTCCTTTTCAAAGTTTTTCTTGTTCATTTGAAAGAAACTACAATAGGCATTTAATATAAAAAGCAGCAGAGAGCAGTCTATAATTACTTTACGTTCTTATGATCAGTGTCAGAATAGTGCAGACTTCCTCTTACTGTTATTTTAAAAAGAAGACAAGAAGCTAGCAGTTCTGAAGATCCATACATGCTTTGTATACAGGTAGTCCTCGACTTATGTTTAATGACCATTTGAAGTTACAACGGCACTGAAAAACATATAACCGTTTTTCACACACGACCATTGTAGCATCCCCATGGTCAGATGTTCAGAATTCAAATGCTTGGCAAATGCCTCATATTTATGACAGTTGCAGTGTCCCAGGGTCATGTGATCACCTTTTGTGACCTTCTGACAAGCAAAATCAATGGGGAAGTCAGATTCACATAACAACTATGATACCAATTTAATAAATGCAGTGATTCACATAACAACTGCTGTAGTAAAAGTTGTAAAATGGGGCAAAATTCAATTAACAACTGTCTCAGTTAACAACAGAAATTTGGGGGTCAATTGTAGTAGAAGGCAAGGACTACTTGCATACGTAAAAGATACAAAGGAAAATATATAAAGCGGTATTAAGAGGTGTGATAAGGTACTTTAATAAAAGTCCATCAATTTATAATGCATATTCAACTCTATTCATCCCCGAAAAAGAGGAAAGATCTACACATTTAGCACTGATTATTACATCATGGCCCATAGTAACTGTGAATAATGGGAGTTGAAAATTCAACATATACTGAGGGTATTAGATAGGAGAAGATTGATCTTGATAAAACTCTCAACATTACTAATAGCACATATTAAATCGATGTAATTGGATCATTGTTTACTTAATGTTTGCTTTGAATTTATACATGGATATTCAATTATTATTTTATAAGTATTCATATTATGAATACCTATAATAATGCCAATTTTTAATAAAAGTACTTATTTTAATTATTTCAGCATGCAATGTAAATGTATGAAAACAAATTGGAAATACATTATAACTTTACCAGTTATTCTTGCATTATCTTCAAATAAAAGCAACAAGCGTCCTTCTACAGAGAGAAATTTTTTGGAGGAAAGCAGTTCAAACAATACCTTAATCTGATTGGCAGATTCTTTTAGCCCACTGTGAGACTTAGACTTAGGGTTTGGCCACTCCTCTCCAAGAAGGGATGTCCTCAAAGAAAACTTGTTTAATTGCTGAATATAAAGGAACAGCAGGAACTGAAGAGTATCCACAGTTAACTAAAGAAAGATCCAAAATTTAAACTCATATAGAATAATTAGTAAGGTTATTTGATTTTCATTCAACAAAATGTACTTAACTGGAATAGATAGACTACTGCTTAAATTTCAAATAACTGAAAGTATTCTAAAAACAAAACAATGTTTGGTCCACCTACATTAGTGCTGCTCTATGCTGCAATGTATAGCAGAAAGAAATAAACCAGTTAACAATTCAAATTCCTTAAAATATATATTAAAAATATGATTAGTTCATACCCGATTCCTTTGCTTCTCTGTCTCTTCCTCAGTTGTGCAGCTAGATATCATTTCTGCCCATTCCAGTCGCTCCTCCGAAGTCTGCTCAACAAGACTGTCAAACAACTCAAAGTAAAGCCATGCCAGGTCTTTCTCTAACTGTAGTTTTCCACAAGCAATGTGTCGCCACATAGACCAGGTAAGGTATGGATAATAGCCTTTACCAGAGCGCATTCTGACATAGGTTGACATTTTCCGAAGGTAATGCATGCTAAACTTGGAAGGAGAAGGGATTTGCAATGCTCCCACTATGAAAGGCTCCATCTTCACCCACAAACTGACTGAAGGTTGCTCCATTTTCAAAAGGTGCAGAGTTTATATATCTGAATTTGAAAAAGCAGAAATACTACAAAGTACTATTTCCAGACCTGTCTCCAATTCAAATATACATGAAAATGAATGAATTTTGCCATATTAATTTCTCCTGATTACCTCATGTTTAAATATTTATGTCTTGTACATCACACCTAAAAATTCTTTTGGTTTATCCTATTTAAATATGTATTACCAAAATATACACATTAAATTTCACCTATATCAGGTCAAGCAAAACTTTTGCAGTCCAAGACTGCATTTTAAAAAATTTGCATTAGGAATGGTGCTAATATGAATATTCATTGGATGATGGAAAACACCAGAATATTCAGCCCAATTTCCCCTTTTGTACCCATTGGAGGAAGCATTAAATGGATAAAAGTACTGTACTAGAGGTGATGCTTCTTTTACTTCATATCACCATGGAAAGATTTTGCCAAATTTCAGCAGCACAGCACAACCATGAGAAATTCTGGGGGCATAAGGGCAATGAGTAACCATGGATTGCAAATTATTCAGTCCTATTCTGCACAGAAAGAAAATGAGTAATAGGACATTTAACTTCTGTATTTGTTTAATAGACTTGCCAGATAGTGGATCCTGCATGGCGCTTGTTCATAAGTAATTTTGAACAGCAGCTATATTTTTAATGGAGCCAGAGCGTAGAACCTTAAGAGCAGCTTTGGCTTATTAATCCTTTCTCTCTCATACAATGAACGATTTTGAACAGTCCTTTTTTACTTATTCACCTCAGCAGTTCATTCAAAGGAAGGAGCAAATGAAGAAAACACTCTTAAAGTTTCCATTTATAATTATTCATTAAGTATGGTAATCTCTTTACTTTCCTTGCTATAATCATATTCATCCTGGTAATTTCTCAGCAATGACCTTGAACTAGACTTATTTGCAGAAAGTCATAGTAAGTGGTCTGAATCTGGGATTATATGGAAGAGAACATTTGGGAGACCAATCTGAATCAATCCATCAATAATCCAAGAGTTTGTATTTCTCATAAATATCTCCATATAAAAAATAAAACCAAAGCACATTTCAAGTTAATTCAATAGTAAAACAAACAATCAATATGGCCTTATCCTGATTTCTGAAATTTGGGTAAAAATGTAACGAAGATATTGATATTCAATTGTATATTTATTAATAACAATAAGTATTGTATTTGCCTAGTGTGGGAAAACAGGTACTACCGGAAGAAGAGAGGAAACATTTGATGGTGTAATATTGAATCTAGATTGAAGAATATATACCACTGAATTACAGATAACATATTGTCTATTAAGTATTTGAATGTAAAACTGGAAAATTAATAAAATATTTATACAAAATAAAACAAAATAAAAAACACCCTGGCTGTTGGTTTGAATATGTTGCATCTCTTGTAACTGCCACTAGGCAAAGCAATATACTCACTTCTAGTCTGCTCTTACAAAGAAAACATTTGTGGATTGCTTTATTTCTTGTTAAAAGAGCTTCAAAGGAACATCACTGATGCTTTAGCCTTTTACTTTTTCTTCCACTTTGCTTGATCTCATTTTTGAAGGACAAACCAAGAAGAAGAAAAGCAGGAATATCCAAAATCTTAATGTAAAAATAGGAAATCAAATAATTAAAATGTTTGTGGATAACATTAGTACTTCTGAAACTTTTCAGTAGACATATCTCAACTGCACTTTGAATTAAATACATTTCAATCAGTGTCAACAAAAAGTTAGTGGGCTCATATTAACGCAGTCATCATTACATAGGATATCATCAATTTTAAAAAAATTAACATCTTACGTACAAAATTTAAACAAAATGTAAGATTTGGCATTTTCATTATCATAGTTTAAGAAGACAGTAGCAATCATGAGCATCTTGGGGTTGGGGGGATGCAAAGGGAAGAAATGAGGAAACTATGTGATGAAATAATCCATGATCTTATCATTTTGGCATTATTACGTTTCTTACAGAAGCTGCTGAAAACATTTTAAACAACTTATTTATAAAACAACCTGTTTTTACTTCAATGTGCTTATTAATTCAACTGCCTAGTTATGATTTCAAATAAAGGAATTTTATTTACACATTATTCCAAAAAGCTTTGCCTTAGGAAAAAAACAATGTTCTGTAGCTTCTGTACTACAGAGTATGCAAAAAAGAATGAAGGTGCCAATGCATAACAAATGTAACTTTCCTGTAAAAAGTCACAGACTGCTCATTGGATATAAACTGAGTAAGCATAATAACATTTCCTCTTGAAAGTAAGAAATAGCTATTTCAAATTCAGATCTAAAAATCATAAAAAATCTGAAAAGGATATAAATTATGTCTGATGCCAAATCAGTCTCTCCTACTATTCCTTGATCATTCACAAGTTAAGCATGAAATAAAATAACTAGAGATTTAATGGTAGACTGTAATCCTGTGGTTTCTGAATTTATCTTATAAAAGCAATCGACACAAGTATCAACTTGATATCAGATCAACCAAGTTTAATAATTCATTTATAAACAATAAATTGTATCAATTAAGAACAATGGAAGAATGGTGTATTTATATTTCATATATTACAGGTAGTCCTCAACATACAAATCCAAAAGTTTCAACAGAACTGAAAAAAGTGACTTACGATCACTTTCACATTTATGACTATTGCAGCATCCCCATGGTCATGAGATCTAATTCAGACGCTTGGCAACTGGCATGGATTTATGACAGTTGCACTGTCCAGGGCTCATGTGATCACCATTTGCAACCTTCCCAGCCAGCTTCCAACAAGTAAAGCCAGATTTACTTAACACCTGCATGATTCACCTAACAACTACAGTGATTCACTTAACAATTGTGGCAAAAACAGGTCTTAAAACGGGACACAGTTCACTTAACTGTCTTAGTTAACAATGGAAATTTTGGGCTCAACTGTGGTTATAAGTCAAGGATTACCTCTAATAAGGGAATTTCGTCAATGTTATATAGGTAGTCCTTGACTTACAACCATAATTAAGCCCAAAATAAATATAACAAATCTATGTATCATATTTCATCCTGCCAGAGTAATCCTATAGACCAGTGATGGCGAACCTTTTAGAGACTGAGTGCCCAAACTTCAACCCAAAACCCACTTATGTATCACCAGGTGCTGGGTGGGCGGGCATGGCCTGCAAGGTGGGCGTAGCTACAGTGGTGATGGCAGATGGGTGGGCATGGCCAACTCGATGTTGCTCCTGGGGAGGGACACCTAGGTGGGCCGGGCAGGGTTGGGGGAGACCCAGGGGGTCTCTGGCGGGTGGGGCGGTGGGCAGGAGGCTGGTCCTGCGGGGTGAGGTGAGGCAAGGGAGGGGTGCCATTGTCACAGGGCGAGGCAGGGACCTGGCACCATTGGCCCCCGCACACAGAGGCCAGCAAGCGCATGGGTGCTGGGATGCATCTGGCCACATGGGACCTCGGCGAGTTAGCGAGCAGCTGGTTGAAGAGTACAGTTGCCATCTCCGGGGCATGGCGCGGATGCCCACAGAGAGGGCTCTGAGTGCCGCCTCTGGCACGCGTGCCACAGTTCGCCACCACTGCTATAGACATTCTGCAATGGTGATGTAGGACACAAATAAATGGATACCATCTTTGCTGTCAATGCCAGATAATCAAAGTCCAGGTAGTCAAGTCATAAATTTTTAAGGAATTGGGAAAATCACCCAATAATATTTTGTAATGAATCCTATAGTAATTTACTGACTATATGGTATTTTCCTAATGCATATAAATTAATCTAACTTAACAAATTAATTTAGATTTAATTGTTAAATGCTAATTTTTATGACTGTAAAAACTTGGAAAATAAACTACATCAATTGTATTTAAAAGTATGGGAAATTATCTTTTAAAAACCCTAACAGCTCAACAGCTCTAAAAACTCTACAGTAAATAATAAATTCAGTTTAATCCAGTCAACATTTATTAGTCTAATAAGCAATACGTTTTCTATATACACATGATTTTTGAAAGAAAAATTAAATACAGGTATTTGAAATGTTTGGGGGGTTTTCTCAAGAGTTCTATTTGTGTGTATGTATATCTTTGTTCTCAAATATATTCTTTGAGATTGTTGTTTTTCTTTTTAATTTTAAGTTTTTTGTTCAAGTTTGTCTTATAAACTAATAAGAAAATTAAAAGATCATTTTATTGAACATTAATTTATTGTCTAATAAAGGCATTCTCAATTGCCTCCATCAGCTATCAATGCAGTTATTTATTGAGGTTTTGTACTCCACTGTTTTGTTACTCAAAAGCCTAGTGACTAGTCCCTCCATTTAGTTCCTCCATTCTGATTCTGTTACTTGCTGCTAATTGCCTTCTGCTACAGGTTTGTTTTATCTGCACTTTCTATAGCATTGTGAACTGTCTCAGTCTCCAATTAAATAGCTCCTATAAAGGCAGGTGTGATTAAAGGTATGCTTCCTTCTAAACTTTGTTCAAATTTGCCTTGCATTATTGTTGCTCTATTTTATGGGCAAATGGAAATTTATTCCTTCTATTTCATTTCTGTGCTGAATCTTTAAACTGCTGTACTGTTTACTGTACTGAAATTTATGTCTGGTAAAATTTTATTACATCTGTATTATCTGTACACAGTTCACATATATTTATATATTCATATAACTAGTAAGCTAACTGCTATTAAAATTAAGTGCACTAAGGCAGAACTGATGCATTTTTTGTTTCTTGGTTCAGGAGATTCAGATGTGCACAGGGGATACAGAGTCCTTAAAATGGGGATCATGATGGAGGATGGAATGTAAACTAATCTGGAACTCTTTGAGGAATCTATTTGGCCTCTTGTGGGTTTCCTTGTATAGGAGACATGTCTGTAACGTATTTATTCTCCCATTCCTTTTTAGAATATGAACAATAAAAACTAATCCTATATGCAACAAAGGACAATAGAGCAGGCGATATAGAACAGCATTTATTTCCGTATCTGGTTAGAAGCCTTAGGAAAAGAAGTGTTAAGATATCATGAAAGATGAGAACCTTCTTCTTGTTAGGCAGTGTTGGCGGGGACGCTTTTTGCAAGAAAAAGGAGACTGAAGCTGCACTTCTCATACATTATTAAACAAGCGCTCACAGCATTCACTATGAAGCCGGAGAGATGGGGGTGATGAAAAAGGAGATCGACACCACCCTCCAGGCGGAGAAAGAAGAACTCACCCGCCATTCCTCTCAAGGCGCTTCTCGGATGCCAGCGGCGAAGTCGCTTTCGAACGCTCACGGTTAACTCTTTCCGCGCCTGCGCACAACGTCTGACTCAGTCACCAATAAAAACACTCCCTGGGGAAGGCTTCGAAAGACGTTCTATCGTCTTGTAGAATCGCTGGGCTAGTCACCAATCGCTACCCCTGTATCACTACTGCATTGGCAAGAATAGGAATGACAGTTGAAAAGTTAAGAATTCGCAATAGCGACATCTGTAGACCGGGCGGATCAGAAAATTTGCCTCCATTTGCTTCTCCTAATTAATCTATGGCGCTGTATCATTAGTTATACATGTTATATGCTATCGTGAACAGCCACCCTGTTTTATAGCGTTACATTTAATTACCTATTGTGTTTAAGTATTTCATAATAGTTTGACTTCACTTTTTAGTCTTTCAATGTATACATTTCATTAAAGATGCATAATAGATCCTGAAGTAGTTTGTCAGTGTCATCTTCCGGTACGCTTTTGACTTCCTACTCTAGACAAGGTTTAAACATCCAGGTATCCATTAAATCTCAGCCAAAAACTTCGTTTTTGCAGAAATTTGTAGCTGAAGTAGACAGTCCCAAGTCTATAGACATTCCGAGAAAGATAAATTGATAAGACATATTCCTCCAATATTAATCAGATCAACCTGGTTAGTTTCCAGTCTCAGAAAGTCAGAAAGGTGCTGCCTCCTGATGAGGCAAATATTATTCTGGTATAAATATATTTGCAGAGAACCGCATTTTATGTTTTTCCTAAAGTATATTCGCTGGTCCCAGCAAAATGCGTTATCATTTAATGTGCCAAAGAATTCTGATCTTCAGAGAACCGATGAAGAAAAGAGGGATGGGGAAAAGCATAATATAGTTAAGCATTTAGAAAGTAGATTTTATGAATTGTCAGAATTGCCCTTCATGTAACTGCGTTATTTCTTTAAAAAAATGGAATTCGTTGATTTTGAAAATGATAGGAGGAAAAAAATCTGTTTGCTACCAGCTCAGCATGAGACACCAAAAAGGAAGCCCGGACTTAAACTGCTTTAAAAATGTATGGAACTAAAAGGATGGATAATGTCCTCTTCGAAACGTACCTACGCATGACATCATCACAATGCTTCTCGCCACGACGGAGACCATTACGCTCTTTTCTGCGTCCTAATTTGTTGACGTTACAAAGTTTAATTGGTCAAACCTAACCGGGTCGCGGATGAAGTGTGCAATTGTGATTGGTCAGCGGCAAATGACGAGGTGCCTACTATGCTGAGCTCCGATTGGCCGCTTCTCTGTACCGGGGGCTCTCTTTCATGCCTACGGTTACCGGTGCGTGAGGCAGGTAGGAGCTGGGAGCTTCTTCGACTAGACCCCCGCCATGTCCCCCTGCTCCCTCGGTGGCCTCCTTCTACTGCTGCTGTGCCTGCTTGGGGACGTCATCGCTGGGTGAGTGCAGGGAGGAAAAGGCGGCCGGAAGGAAAGCCCGTTTCGGTGCTAAGATTTGCAGGTGGCCCCGCGGCAGAGGGTGGAGCCCCCTCTGCCTCTCTTCCCCTTTCAGTGTTCTGAAAGGCCCGCTGAACCTGCTGCGCTCTGCCCCCCCCCCCCCCCCGCTCGCTCTCGCCAGTCTCCGCACGATGGGAGCGCCTTGTCTTCCTCTTCCCCGGTGTGTGGACTGCTCCCTGTTCCGCTGCTTCCTGGCCATTTCTTCCTATCGAGAGTTGTAGGTGGTTACTGCCATTTCCTTCTTCATCTCCCTTCGCGGGTGGCCAGGAAACGATTCGATTTCCTGTGCCCTCATAGGCAGATGAAATGTGTATCCTGTGTTTTAAAGCGCGGGGGAAGGGAAGAGAGATGAGTTGTAGTGAACATGTTGTGTTAGGATCATGTTAGCCACTCGGGTTCAAATCCCTGCCTTAGCCATGAAGCTCTCTTTTAGACCTGTTACTTCTTTTCTGTGGCTGGAATCTATATCTATGCTTCCACTTTTACCTGTCTGTATACAGATAGTCCTCTGTTTATAACAGTTCGTTTAGTGACCGTACAAAGTTACAACAGCACTGAAAACAGTTACTTATGACAGTTTTTCACACTTATGACCATTGCAGCATCTGCATGGTCACGTGATTTACATTTGGATGCTTGACAACTGGTTCATATTTATGCCAGTGGCAGTGCCCCAGGATCATGTGACCATCTTTTGTGACATTCTGACAAGCACAGTCAATGGGAAAACCAGATTCACTTAGTAACCATGTTACTAATTTAACAACTGCAGTGATTCACTTAACAAATGTGGTAAGAAAAGTCGTAAAATGGGACAAAACTCACTTAACAAATTTCTCACTTAGCAACATAAATTCTGGGCTCAATTGTGGTCATAAGTTGAGGACTAACTGTACTGTACTGAAATCAGTTGGTTAAATCTGCTACTCTTCTTGGTTATTGACTTTCTCAGTAGTGTTCCAATTATGGAATGTTTCCTAACGAAAGCTTGGGCGGTCACCTACTTTTGATATAATTTTATAGCAACAGGCATATAATTTAAGTCATGAAATAACTTCAATTATATTTGTTTTTTAAATGTCAGTACTCATTTTAATTTTATTTTATTGCATTTTTTTAAATATAAGCCTCTCATTTTAAAAAAATTGTAAGCTTCTTTTATTAAAAGGCAAGATATTTCTTACACTCAGCACATAGAGTGCAATTTTATGTACTCAGAGTTTTATTTCTGTTTCTGCCAATGAATTCAAGGGCATATCAGTTTAAATGAACAAATAAAGGGTGGAATTTTCTCTGACATTTTAAATCTTATGCCAGCCTAGAGATTTCTACTTGTGTTAGGATTACAGTTTTTTTTCTTTGTCTATTAGATTTGGAGACAATCCAATTCCAAAACAGCTTTGGGTGCTTACAGTTTAAAAACAGATTAACAATATAGAAAAAATCTGAAATGTCTGGACCACCATATCTCATAAACCCACCCCTTTCCAAAAAAATCTCCACCAACAGGATTCACAAATACCCTATCCCAAGTGATGGAAGTACAGTCATAGTTTTTAAATACTTCTAAAACATTATTACTGTGGGAGATACATAGATCCTTGAGATCTATCATTCCAGAGAGCAGACACGGCAGCAGAGAGAAATATACTTTCTGAATTCTAATAGATGGCATTATTTGGTTGAAGGGACCGGGAGCACATTAACTGACTAATCTTAGCCATCAGGCAGAAATCATTGGCGATAGGTGGTTCTCAAATAATCTGGTCTTATACCATGAAGGGCTTCATAAGTAATAACCAGAAGTTTGCCAGCAACCAATGTAAGTCACATATGTCATAAACATACCAAAGGATATTGAATGCTGCATGTTCTGGAATAGCTATAGTTTTAAATGCTCTTCAGAGGAAGCCCTAGGTAGAGTTCATTGCAGTAATCCAATGACTATGGCAGTGGTGGCGAATCTGTAGCATGTGTGCCAGAAGTGGCACTCAGAGCCCTCTCTGTGGGCACGTGCACGCCACCACCAGCAGATCGCACAGGTTGGGTGAGTGAGGGGAACATGCTCCGTGCGCGGGCCAAAGGCAAGATCTGCAAGGGGGCCGAGATGACCAGCAGCAATCTGCTCTCCAACCGCAACCATAAACAGATGGGATGGGTAAGCGCGTCCAGCGGTCTGCATCATGTGCCCCCCCTCCCCTACTCTGCCTGCTGCTGGAGGGCTGGCCCGGTATTGGCAGCGGGCTGAGGAGCCCCAGAGTGCACCAGTCAAGGGGCTGGCAGGCTGTGGCTGCTGACGGACATGGTCGGCCCCCATGCGCTCGCTGGCCTCTGTGTGGGGGGGCTGATGGTGTCAGGCATTGCCTTGCCCCGCGGCAATGATACCCCCGCCCTGCTCCCTGCCTCACCCTGCAGGACAAGCCTCCTGCCCACCAGACACTCTCTAGATCTCTCCCACCCCTGCCCAGCCCCCACAGGTGTCCCCCCCCCCAGAAGCAACATTGTGGTGGCTACGACCACCCCAGCCATGCCCACACAGTGGGCCATGCCCCCTGCCCCCCTGAGGGCACCACAATGTTGATGCGATCCTGGCACTTTGCAATAAATAAGTGGGTTCTGGGTTGCCGTTTGGGCACTCGGTCTCTAAAATGTTCGCCATCACTGGACTAGGGCATAAGTGATTGTCTGTCTTTAGATCCAGGAATGACCACATGAAAGCTACCTGCCTAACTGAATAGTAAATATATTTAAGAATCTTAAATATCACAGGATCACTAAAGAGATGCTCTCAAAGACATCCCATTTTGGCAGTTCTGGTGTTTTGCAAGAAAGCATATGCTGCGATCCTTAGAATGCAAAGCTTATAGAACTTTCTCTGTGTATTGCTATTCTTATTATTACCAATTTATGGCAAAGAAGAACATAAATTGTTTTTCTCCCCTTATTTTTTATTTTGAGGATCATAAGAGACAATAATTTTTGTTGCTTTTCAGGAGAGATTTCTATAAGATTTTGGGGGTTCCTCGCAGTGCATCTGTTAAAGATATTAAAAAGGCCTACCGAAAACTAGCTCTTCAGCTTCATCCAGATAGAAACCCAGATGATCCCCGCGCACAGGAAAAATTTCAGGATCTTGGGGCTGCCTATGAGGTAACTATTTAGAAGAAGCCTGTGGGCAACATATGCATCCTATGCTTCCTGGGTTGTTCTCTTCAATGAAATTGTAATAGGATGGTTACTGATTAGAAAATAGCAATGTGTTTGTGACATTAATGAGACTTTTGTTCTTAACTTCATTTTCTTTAGGCTGATTTAATTGAGTACTTGAAAATGATTTATGGAAAGTATTATTTCTTTGTGAATAAGCAATAGAGGATATTTATTTCTATTCATCTTTCAATTATAGCAGATCAAATATGTCAACAATGGATGTTCATGCTGCTCTATTAAGTGATGTTTAAAAGTATAAAACTATGTGCTAAAATGTTGCATTGGCATTTAATATGCAGATGCTAAAGAATATTTTCACGAACTTGATTAATGGCAAGCTAAAGATCATACATATGTAAATGCCTACGTATTATGGGGAACAAGCAGAGGTTTCTTCTTAATTTGTCAAATTTAGAAAGTCATGGAGCTCTCTTTTTCCTTTAGTTTAAAGAATGTGACAGATTCTTGCATTGTATTTGGAAATGCTGGTCCAAACTTATGCATGAGAATATGCTTTAATAATAAGATTTGCTCTGCTGGTATATAGTTTCCTTATACACACATCAGGATGGAAAAGTGAATAGCTAACATTTAACAGAAAAGAAAATAAACAGATGAAGCTATTGTCCTTCATTCTTCTTCCTCATTTCTGTCAGTTTCTTCTAAATCTTTTTCCTTGAGAAATAGAATCAAAATATTTTGATAGTAAGTAGTTATTAGTTGCTTTTGTATAATCAGTCCTATAAAATGTCTTACAACAAAATGGATTAACAAACCTGAACAAGCTGTAGCATATCATAAGCAATTACATGTTATAATTTGGTAAAAAAGAATTTACACAAAGGAGTAACTAGAAAACTGATCAGTTGTTCAGTGGCTAGCAACATAACGGCAGGTGGAGTTGGCAATGTCCCTGAAGCTTGGAGGCACTTAACAGTGTGCCTTTTGCAGGAGAAGTGGCTGTGAAAATCAAGGCAACGTATCGTTCCTGGTGGCAGCAATATTTGGTGGCATTGGATTGTAATTTTTTTTTAAAGCCTATGAGTCACATGATGATTTGGTCATTTAGGTGTGTTCTGACATTTTCCAGGAGATATTTTTCTGAACCAGAAGCCATTTGGAGAATTCTAGATGTGATACATAGGTGAGGGATGCACACAAACTGCTTTCAGTTTAAAATATTTATTTCTGGAAAATATCAGACCACCACAAAATTGATCAGATCTGTATAGTATGAAGGCAAAATATAGTTTTGTTCATTGTCCTGTTTAGAAATATTTTAAACCTATGTTAATATATGCATAAAATTTATGTCTCCTACAGGTATTGTCAGATGAGGAAAAACGAAAGCAGTATGATGCCTATGGAGAAGAAGGGTTAAAAGAGGGACATCAAAGTTCTCATGGAGATATTTTTTCACAGTAAGTTTGCTTTGCTCCTTCACACTTTTTTTTTGCAAGATAAAGTGTTATCTTACAGTATAGTACAATAGTATCTTTATTAATTAATTTCAGCCATTTTACTATTGTGTTTTGTTCAGCAAGAGCAAAATTGCAATGAAGCATCTAAAACTAGATTGAAACGACATGAAAGACAGCAATGAGAATTGCTATTAGTAAATGCCAGCTGAACAATAACATCCATATCAATTAATGAGTTAAAAAGTTATTTGTAACAATTAAGTTGTGAATCTATAATGGTGTCCCTATGCAAACCTCTGAAGGTTCTACATGTGTTTGGAGTGGAAATTATATCATTTTAGGTTTTGCCAGGATTCTCCAAAGATCAAGACTATCTGAGAAGAAATCATTATTCCTCTATTCTGAATTAAACATATTATATTCCCAACACTGATTACTCCGTGGATTTAGAAGCTATGTCATAAGCAGGAACTGCAGCCTAACATACAGGCATTCACACTTTGCAAGACAGAAAACACAGCTGCTGGTTATAGCTCTGACCTGCAGCACTCTCATTGCTGTCCTGCATGTTGTTTAAAACCCAGAGTGTCCTGCACACATTTTTGAGAACACATCAGGTTTCATTAATACATGCCAGGTCTGCCTTTTCAGTTAACACTAAGCCATGGATGAATCCTCACCAGCAATTGTTATCTTGCAACAGAGAGAATAACAATCACGTCCTATGCTATTTTTTTTTAGTTGAATTAACTCTGCCTTAAATAGGAATGTGAATGCTCAATTATGGTTTCACATCTGGAAAACCCTCATCACTAAGTGCACATACTTGAATTGCATAGTCAGTGGATTTATGTGAAGGCATAGTTATCAGTTTATTTCATACAAATTACAGGCCTGGCAATGTAGAATATTAAAGTTCACAGTCAGTGTACTGATTAGGAAGTGTATGGCACTTTTATCTACCATGTTCTTTCTGCAAGTAATCCTCAACTTATGAAGCTATAAGAAACCTACCATGGGGCTACTTATAACCTGGGTTTAAAGTTTTGGCAGTCACGGCCTTCTCCACTCACATGATTGACCTTAGCAACATGGCCACGTTTGTGGCATTTGCAGCATTCCATGATCACATGACCACATTTTATGGCAGTTTTGCTGAAAACCAGCACTTCTGGCTTTTGACAAAACCGTGGAACATTGGTTTGCTTAATGACCATGGTGTTTGCTTAATGACCATGGTTTTGCTTAACAATCACAAAAAAGATCATAATATTGAATCAATCACACGACCCACAAGTTATATGACCATCACGACTTACAACTATGATGGGCAGGCTCCATTATGATCATAAGTCAAGGACTACCTATACTTTTTCCTCTAAAAAGAAAATATCAGTTTTTATAGGAAACTGATGGCTATTTTGCCCAATATAGCAGTCAGTTCCATTTTTTGCAATTAAGGATAAATGTATTCTGGTACTGCTTACTTCTCCATGGCTAGCTAGTAAGTCCATGGAAGTTTCTCTAGAACTCTAAGCAGCAATATCAAGTAAGAGGGTTCTCAAAATAGAATTGCATCTTAGCTAAAAATTGCCCAAGTTGCTGTAGAGTCTAAGAAAGATGATCTTGATGGAGATATGCAAGCTCTGTTGCCAAGATGAGAAATAAAACATATTTTAAATCCAGAATTAAAACCAGATAAGGTTTGAAAGTGGCTGAGACAGACATCTCCCTAATTCACTGAACTGAATTGTAGCCAATTCCAGTAACAAAAGTGAAGTCTTTGCCCTACCTTAATAAAAGAGCATAGGAGACTTGCAAAATTGATGTCAGCCCCACTAGGTAGATCAGACCAAAAGTTCAATTCCAAAGGAAGTTTAAAACTATTTTTATTGAGATTGACTATAATAACAGACTCTTACAAATCTGATTCTGTTGTACCTCCTTCTTATAATTCAGTAAATCTCCATCAACTTCCTTACTCCCTATAATTGCCTCAGTTAATAATTTCTTACCTGCTGTCCTATAAGTTTAATAGAAAGGAAGCTAAATGAATCAATATTCATGTCTTTTCAGTTTCTTTGGAGATTTTGGTTTCATGTTTGGAGGCAGTCCTCGTCAGCAAGACAGGAACATTCCAAGAGGAAGCGACATTATTGTGGACCTAGAAGTTACATTGGAAGAAGTGTATTCAGGAAATTTTGTGGAAGTAAGTTAGGCAATTTGCTTAATAGGTCTCCTTTGCTTATATAAAAATCTGTTTTTCAGGCTTCATTATTAGAAATAGTTCTCTCTCAGTGAATAAATATGAAGGAACACCAAAAGTATTCTTGGAACCACCTACAGTATGTATTTCCTATGGAATTTCAGTGCATGGTGAATGTTAGGTAACTGCTTTCAGTTTGTTTCAGAACTAAATGCTTGTGAAAGAGAACAGTATAAGAGCAGCTCAAATTAATCAATGGCCCTGTTTATATGCAACAGGAATATGTAACTTTTTTCTCAGACCGGGAGCCATACTTTGCCTTTGGTGACAGACATTCTCCAAAAACTAATGAGTGGAACCATAAAAATAAAATAAATAAAAATTAATTTTATTTAAAATTAAGTATAACCATTATGATTATCAGCTGGGAGTGTAGGAATTTAGCTAGGATTTGAAGGGTCCCCTATCACTTTTACTTCCACATTTTCCATTTTTGGAGGGTCTGGGGGGGTTATCAATAACTCCATTGTGTATACTTTGGAAAAGGAAACTGGGTGAGTCTTCCAGTGTGGTCACAGGATTCTTAATTTATTGTGTGCTAAGATTATAAACCTCTGTATTGGAATTTATTAAATAATCATTTAATTAATAATTATTTGTTAATTAGCTATTAATAATTTTAAATCAGGGAAAGATCAATAATAATAACAACTAAATGGTAACTGAAAAGCCAGGATATAATTTGTGATTGTTTATATTAAGATTACTTATGTTACAAAGTCTAAATAGCAGATGTATTATAAATGAGATGTTTGTCTTCTTTATTTATCTGAAAAGGCTAAAGAGTTGTATATTGTAAAGTTTGTATCCAACAATGTTATTCTTTACCTGTTTGCAGGTTATTAGAAACAAGCCAGTTGCAAGACAGGCACCAGGGACACGGAAATGCAATTGCCGGCAAGAGATGAGGACAACACAGTTAGGCCCAGGACGTTTCCAGATGACACAAGAAGTTGTCTGTGATGAATGTCCCAATGTCAAGTGAGTTTGAGGTCCTATGGCCATTTGGTGCTTGAGTAATTGACAGTCATACATAATTGTTAAAAATAGCAGAGAAGGAGGATGATTACGTGACCAGTATGAGCCACAAGATGGCATAGAGTGTTGTTGAGGGTTTTTTATGGATTGAAAAGAGAACGAAACTTCCATGCCTGAAAATCTTCAGGGTGACTGAAAGGAGCCTGTACAATTGCTCTGTCATTATGACATCTCTGGCAGATTTGTTCTGCCAAATAAAAGTTGCAATCCAGTGCTTTTCCAGGAGATTCTGGAAAAGATAATCAAACAACGAATCAGCGACCACCTACAGGCAAACAAAGTCATTACTAAAAGCCAACACGGGTTTGTCAAAAACAGATCATGCCAGACAAACATTATTGCATTCTTTGACCAAGTGAAAAAAATAGTGGACCAGAGGAATGCTGTGGATATAATTTACTTGGACTTCAGTAAGGCATTTGACAAAGTAGATCACAACCTACTACTTGATAAGATAGAAAAATGCGGGTCAGACAGCATCACCACCAGATGGATCCGTAGCTGGCTGACCGGCCGTACTCAGCATGTGGTTCCTCAATGGAACCACATCTACATGGAGGGAAGTGTGTAGTGGGGTGCCCAAGGGCTCTGTAATGGGCCCAGTGCTCTTCATCAACGATCCGGATGAGGGAATAGATGGGGAACTCATCAAATTTGCAGACGACACCAAGCTGGCAGGAATAGCCAACACTCCAGAAGACAGGCTTAGGATACAGGAGGATCTGGACAGACTTGAACACTGGGTGCTATCTAACAAAATGAAATTCAATGGTGAAAAAAGTAAGGTTCTACATTTAGGCAAGAAAAACCAAATGTACAGGTATAGTATAGGGGGTACAGTACCTTGCTCAATAGTAGTAACTGTGATAGGGATCTCGGAGTCCCAGTGGACAATCACTTAAATATGAGCCAGCAGTGTGCTGCAGCTGCCAAAAAGGCCAACACAGTGCTAGGCTGCATTAATAGAGGGATAGAATCAAGATCACGTGAAGTATTAATACCACTCTACAATGCCTTGGTAAAGCCACACTTGGAATACTGCATCTAGTTTTGGTCACCACGATGTAAAAAAGATGTTGAGACTCTAGAAAGTACAGAGAAGAGCAACAAGGATGATTAGGGGACTGGGGGCTAAAATATATAAGGAACGGTTGCTGGAATTGGGTATGTCTAGTTTAACGAAGAGAAGGACGAGGGGGGACATGATAGCAGTGTTCCAATATCTCAGGGGCTGCCACAAAGAAGAGGGAGTCAAGCTATTTTCCAAAGTGCCTGAAGGCAGGACAAGGAGCAACGGGTGGAAACTAACCAAAGAGAAAAGCAACCTAGAACTAAGGAGAAACTTCCTGACAGTTAGAACAATTAACCAATGGAACAACCTGCCTCCAGAAGTGGTGAATGCTCCAACACTGGAAGTTTTTAAGAAGAAACTGGACAGCCATTTGTCCAAAATGGTATAGGGTTTCCTGCCTGAGCAGGGGGTTGGACTAGATGACCTCCAAGGTCCCTTCCAACTTTATCATCATCATCATTATTATTATTAAATTCAAAGAAGAAAAAGGGGGCTTTAGAGCAGGTGTCCCCAATCTCCAGACCGTGGACCAGTATTGGGCCGTGGCATGCCAGCAACTGGTCCGCACAAGCAAGCAAAGCCCCATCCGCAGGATGCAGGCAGCACATAAAACCACGCACCCTCCGGTCCGCAGAAAAACCTCTCCATGGAACCGGTTCCCTGGTGCCCAAAAAGTTGGGGATCTCTGCTTTAGAGGATACATGGTAGCGCCTGCTGACAATTCTTTAAATCAAATGTATCTTTTACCAAGGAGGGCACCACAGTGTAGACACTATGCTATTCCAGGAAGGCTTCATTGTTTAAAGGGGTTTCCAACAAGTGCTTTGTGAATGTCTATACATTTGGCCTTCAAATTCTTACCCGTGTACAGCCATCTCTCGTACAACAGGCTTTCTCAATCTTCGCAACTTTTAAGGTGCTTGCACTTCAATTCCCAGAATACCCCAATCATCATGGTAGTTGGTCCACATGTCTTAAAATTACCAGTTAAGAAACACTGTCGTATAGCATACATATTTGGCTAGGGCTTGAAGTGTTCCCTGTAGCTATGTAAATATAGTTGTGTTCATAAATTTACATAATCCTTGCAGAATTTGTAAGTTATGGACTATTTTGTAAATAAATAAAAGTAATCAAACAATTTTTTGATTCAGATTAAACTATTAGGCATCCCACAATAACACAATCATTAAACCATAGCAATAATAAAATGGTGGTTTGCAAACTTAGTTCTTAATACTATATATTGCTCCCTTTAACATCAGTGATCCTAATAGTCCTAATTGCTCCCTTTAGCATCAACATCCTAAACTGTCTTTTAGGATAGTTATGAATGAGGCCCTTTATTTTCTGATGTAGTAAAGCTAGCTATCCTTTTGGCAAAAAGTCTGCAGGTCCTCTACATTCTTTGGTTGTCTAGAATGAACTGTATGTTTGAGATATCAGACAGGTTCAATGATGTTGTGGTCAGGAGATTGTGATTGCCACTCCAGAACCTTCCCTTTGTTCTGTTGCAGCCACTAAAGGATCAACATAGCTTTAGGAAGTAGATCATTGTCATGTTGGAAAGTCCAAGCATGCCCCCATTCACATTTTTCAGGCTACCCAAATATACGAGGGTATGGGAATTTTTGAGCAGAACCATTTTATTATTTCCTTTATTGCTATGGTTTGTTTTATGATTGTGATGTTCTTAGATTCCTAATTGTTTAATTTGACTCACATGACAAAAATGTGTAAGTAAATTCATGTTTGCTTATAAAATAGTCCACATCTTAAAAGTTCTGCATATTGCAAAACCACAACTGTAAGCATGAGTAGACTTAAAGTAACATTTGTAAAATAAATAAATACAATATGGTCTGATTGAAGACATTTAAGATAATACAGTGTTAAAAGGATATATCCTCTTTCATATATTGTTTAACTGATATTTTCCTGTTTCTCAGACTTGTAAATGAAGAACGAACATTAGAGGTGGAGATAGAACCTGGTGTTAGGGATGGGATGGAATACCCCTTTATAGGGGAAGGTACATCTTTTAATTTTTATTCTTTTTGACATCTAATTGGAGGTTGTAATTTATAGAATGTGTGAAAAACTGTGAGTGTTCTGTTTGTTTCAAATTGAAAATAAATTGGGGGTGGAAATTTGGAGCCTAATTTGGATTCTGCTTTTTTAAATATACTTGGAACGTTTTGTGCCTTTGAAAAAATACTTCCTATAATACTACTAAAACTTAAATATATACAGAAGATATATAATCTTGTGCAGAAGATTATGTATCTTCTGTATGTCGTGACATTTTTTCTTTCTTTTTTTTATTTTATAAGCTTTTTTGCCAATGTCTACATAATAATTTTCCTATGACACTAGAAATAGAAATCTGTCAGTATTATCATCCTCTAATTTTTTTATCCTGCTGCAATATTACCTATATTTATTCTTGTTCCCAGATATTTCATAATCTGCATAAATTGGATAATGATTATAACAAAACTATGTGCTAACCATAGATTTTTATGCAGATTAAACTAGGTAGTTTACTAAGATTTCACATTCAGTCTAACCAGTTGTAAGCTTGTATTTTTAGACTTTTGCCTTAATAATGTGTACCAATGTTTTTTTGAGTTAACTATATGTATTGAATTTCATTAAGTCATAAGGACAGAGTTTGAGGAAAAGGTCCCTATCCTGGTAGATCAGGTCATTATAGAAATCTTAAAGAAACACTGACCTAAGGCAGGGGTAGGCAACCTTGGCTCTTTTATGACTCGTGGACTTCAATTCCCAGAATTCCTGAGTCAGCTATGGTGGCTCAGGAATTCTGGGAGTTGAAGTCCACAAGTCATAAAAGAGCCAAGGTTGTCTACCCCTGACATAAGGTATCACTAGAAAGAGATGGTTTAATTTTGAAACATTTAAACATACCTAACACTTGTTCAAACTTCATCAGGAGAACCTCACGTTGATGGAGAACCAGGTGATTTGCGCTTCCGAATAAAAGTTCTTAAGTAAGTCTCTCTGCTTTATGAAATAATTTACCAATTTTTTTTCTGCATTAGCTATCAATGAACACACTTGCTTTAGTGGTACTAGCAATTACATATTTTTGCATGAAAAAATGCTACGCACTCATAAAGGCTTTGGTGGGCAGATTATTCCATTAAACCAGTGATGCTCCAACTGTAAGATTAATCCTTTGAGGAAAGAAGTGCATAGAGCAGGGATAGGCAACCTCGGCTCTTTTATGACTCGTGGACTTCAACTCCCAGAATTCCTGAGCCAGCATAGCTGACTCAGGAACTCTGGGAGTTGAAGTCCACAAGTCATAAAAGAGCCGAGGTTTCCTACCCCTGGTGTAGAGCATTAAAAGCATTTGCTTCTAGGAAACAGTAGGGGTTTAAAGCAGACTAAATCTTTCTCACTGTTACCAAAGACTAGGTGAGTCAAGTTGTTTCTGGAAAAAATATCTGCACTGAATATCTAAAGATGATTTCAGAGGAAATGCACAAAGAGTTGCTGTGAAGATCTAAAAGTTTTTTCTATGCCATGTTATGACAGATACAGAGATATTTTATACATATCTAAATGCTAGTATGTAAAATTAGAATTAATATCCCTATGGTGTTAGGACAAAGGCTAATTTACTTCTAATCGTGATGCAAAAATACTATGTATGACTGTACTCACTCAAATTTCAAAATGATTTAAATGGATTTCTTCAGAAGATTAATACATAATTTCCAATTTGTCAGTATTTTTAAATTATAATATTTTTTAATTTAACATGCTGTAAAATGAATGAATTTGCAGATGAATTAAGAAATAAAAATATTAATATTCTAATATGTTGACTACAGGCATCCAGTTTTTGAAAGAAGAGGAGATGATTTATATACAAATGTGACTATCTCACTTGTGGAAGCTCTTATTGGATTTGAAATGGATATTGCTCATTTAGATGGACATAAGGTAAGGTAGAGGATTCCTTTGTCTGAAAACATTTTCAAAGAATCCCTTTGTATCCATAATACACATGTTGGCACTAAGATATAATATTGACATTATGATTCTTTTTGGTAAAATACTTCTCATGTAAAATGTTAATCCTATTGAAAATTGTCAATGTGTTTTTTTTTGTTGTTGTTTGTTTGTTTGTTTGTTTTTTGGTTAGGTCCATATTGCCCGGGATAAAATCACAAAACCTGGAGCCAAGCTGTGGAAGAAGGGCGAAGGTCTTCCAAACTTTGATAACAATAACATCAAAGGCTCTCTCATCATTACATTTGATATTGAATTTCCAAAAGAACAATTGACTGGAGAACAGCGAGAAAGTATGTATAGTAGTACCGTAATGATAACTCAAACAGAACATTGACTTATTAAATTTATTACCTTGGTTGTCAACATATTAATGCTCAGAATATAGGAATGTAGGAATCTTCAAGACTTGAGCGCACACAATGGGGTGAGCTCCTGTTACTTGCCCCAGTTCCTGCCAACCTAGCAGTTTGAAAACATGTAAATGCAAGTAGATAACTGGATACCACTTCAGTAGGAAGGTAACAGCATTCCATGCGTCTCAGCATATAGTTATGCTGGCCACATGACCACAGAAAAGTCTTCGGACAATGCTGGCTCTCTTGGCTAAGAAAAGGGAATGAGCACCACCCCTTATGGACATAACTGGACATACCTTTATCTTTAAATTCAATAGCTAGCAGCAATGGGGTCTTTAATTACCCTTACTTCTTTTGGTAAAGAAACCCAGAGGAAAGTTTGTGACATCTCTTAACTGACAATTTTCTAATGTAAGGAATGGAAAAAAGCATTAAAATTAGGGTAACCGTCTTACTATGTTTTTGATTCTAACTAATTGAGAAGATTGAGTTGATGAAGTAGAAGCAGAAGGAACATTGTAGGAAGTGAACATGTCGGCTGTCTTTGTCCTTAGCAAAAAAAAAAAAAAAACAACATTTGAAGGTTAAATGTAGTCAAATAGAAATACCGGACATCAAGAAAGCGGGTTTTAATAAACTCATCAACAACAAATGGTATTCCATGTCAGAAGCTAATAAGATGAAAACACTAGAAGACTCATTCCAAAACCATAGAGTTTTGGTTTAATGATGCTAAGAATCACAAAAAATAACTTTTGAAACAAAGTAGATTTATTTATTAAATTATGCAGCCCCATAACATATACTTTTAAAAACAGTACATTGTAGCATATTAAGAGATCTGTGTCAGATCTCTTATAGTTCAAATTTTAGAAGATATAAATAGCAACCAAGAATGCATCCATTATTGTAAATTTGAAATACTGTCATTATAGAATGAAATGTCTTAGTTGGGATCTTTTTCAAGAAGGCACCTGGGTTCTCATTCTGCTTTAACTATTTGTCAAAACAATGTGATTATCTCCTTTTGAAAATAATTGGATATATACAGGGACCACCTGACTTACAATTTCATTTAGTGACTGTTCGAGGTTACAGTAATACTGAAAAAAATAACTTATGACCATTTTCACACTTACAACGATTGCAGAATCCCTATGGTCACGTGAACAAAATTCAGATGCTTGGCAACTGACTCAGGACACTTGCAGTGTTCCGGGGTCATGTGATCAGCTTTTGTGATCTTGTGACAAGCAAAATCAATGGGGAAGCCAGATTCATTTAACAACTGTGTTACTAGCTTAACAACTGCAATGCTTCATTTAACAACAGTGGTAAGAAAGGTCATAAAATGGGGCAAAATTAACTTAATAAATGTCTCACTTAACAACATAAATTTTGGGCTCAATTATGATATGTTGAGGATTACCCATAGTATTATTGAAGGTTTCCTCTCTGAACTGTTTTGAGTAATATGTTGGTTGAGAATTGAGAATAATAACTCTTTTCCCCCTTAATATAGTAGCAGTCCCAAGTGTATTGTCGTATTGTAATAGTGATTTTATTATTTTGCAGGTCTTAAACAATTGCTGAAACAAGCATCTGTTCAGAAGGTGTATAATGGACTGCAGGGCTATTGAGACAGAGACAAATGGACTTTCTTGTGGATAAATGAAATAAGTACTGTAAAATGCAGCCTTTTCTGCCGGTCATTGTAGAACAAATGCAGAGGGTGGAGTAACCTCTGAAACCTCCTTTTTTACAATAGTAAGGATAATTCTGGGATGGATCAGAAGACAACAAACAAAATTTCTTTATTCTGGATACAACTGGTGCTCTATTTGGAGCAATAAGGCTCCAGCAGTTGAGAGAGAGAGAGAGATGGTGTTTTTAACAGGATTAGCACACTGAAGTTCCGTTTTCAAATATATTTTGATGTTACTTTCCTTGTCACTCTTAATGAGTTTTCATAATTTTTTCATGGTTCCTTTATCTTGTATCGTCTTGGTTTTGAGATGTTCTGTGGCTCATCTTGGAGTTACACCTATCCCTATGTTTCTTAGACAGATATGAGGCATGGACAGATAATAGCTACCTCTACAAATTGCTGTCCTCTCTTCTGATTAAACTGCTAGGTGCTTCCTGTTATTTACAGTTGTAGAAGTGTAAGTTAAGTTTTGCCACCATCCATGCAAGTTAACACTTAGAAATGTTGAATGGAAGGAAACTGGTTTGAACGAACTGAGACCCTTTTTGTTAATTGCCTGTCATTGCACTTAGAAGAAAATGTGTTATGTTGCTTTTGTTCACTTAGATATGAGTTGCTGTTTTTTTTTAACAGAGCTCTATATAATGTTGCAGTTACAACATTTTAACTAGATAAGTAAGAATACTGGATTATAAATTTGTGGGAACCGTGGGCCAATTCATATTTTAAGTAACACATATGTTTGCAGAAGTACAAAGTATGGAATCTGAGTATTTGGAGTTTCCCAGATATTTTCAAATTACCCATATTGCAGTGTATGGTACTCATGCCTGTAAATATTGACATATTTTCAGTACATACAACAAATACACTGTAACTGCTCAACATGACTATAGGACCATTGGAAAAGGTATGGTTAGAAAGGCACATAGTTTCTATTTTTCCCAGTCTCTTGGCTAATAGGCACACCCATAACTGTCTCATGCAGACTTTTGTGTATTTTGCAGTATCATTTTATATAACTTTACTGAAAAGATGGCTGCACTTTCTGACCCTGGATCAGCCTCTTATTCTCAAGAATGACCTAGCAGTAAATAATGTTTATTTCTTGACTGAAAATGAAATTGCTTTATTTAATCTGGAAAACCAGCCCACTGATATTTACCAGCAGCATTGTATTATAATGGATGAAACTGATGAAGCCACTATATGAATAAGGAAGTAGAAAAGGCGAGCAGTGAAATAAATAGCCACAAACTATGCATAGATTGGAATAACTTTATAAAAAATATCCAGCCAATTATGCCATTCTTTTTTCTGTTTTAAGAACTATATTCTAAGTTCTACAAATGAAAGGAAACTTGACAGGTAAAATGCTTTTTTAAAAAAAAAATATATGACTATTTAAATATATGATTATGCCAGCTCATAACTGAAAACCCCAGATCTAAATTCTGGCGAACAGCTAATAAAATCCTTAATTAAATGACGATTTTTGGAGGATCTTTAGAGCACTTAGAAGTGATGAATAGGCAGCAATTTTGCAATTGTTGGCCGCCTGCTCAGTGTTATAAGGATAAAATGCATGGAGTTATTATCTCATGTTTTCTTGATAAGCACTGTAATCCTAAGCATCCAGAAAAAATAGTGGAGTCCTAATTTTTAGTAAACTTCTGAAGACATTCTGTAAAAACCTCTTGAGAGAAGCATTATTTCTAGCTTGACCCAATTTAATTTATAAAACAGACAATTGCTAATTCTGAATGCTTTTAAAAGTCCACAGGCTTATAAAGGTCCACAGAATTTGTCATCATAAATTCCCTTTGGAGCTACAGAAGTATAGAAAGAGCCATCCAAAATCAACTGAAGTGTATCACATTGCCATCAATATATTTCCTTTGTTAAAGCTCTGTAATGTGATCTGATCAGGAATGCCTAAAATTTTCATACAACTTTAATTGTATCAGGATCTTTCAAAGATGAACATAGAAAAAAACAAAAAGAAATTGAAGCATTCTAGATTTTTACATTGTATTTGCCTGATGGATAAAGAAATAAAAGAACATGCAACTCTGATTGTTAAATACCTCCCAAAAAATGGGTATAATACAGTGCAAATTAAAACATTGCCAACAGAACATAATAAAATGCAACATGGTCAAAATAAAAAAACCAACACAATATGTAAATAAACAGGTATATACTGACATAGCATGATAAAAAAAAATATTTCTAGTGTTTTCCTACACCATTTTTTCCCCTACAAATGCAGAGTTCCTTTTTTTCTCCAGATCAACCAAGCGTTGATGCATTGGTTATGACAAGCCCAACATTGTGGCTGAGAAAGAGTGACTGCCCAGAGTCACCCAGCGGGCTTCCATGTCTAAGGCAGAACTAGAACTCAGTTTCCTGGTTTCTAACTTGGTGCCTTAAACAGTAGACCAAACTGGCTCTCAGCATGATAAAATATAATGCCATATGAAAACTGGCATATTGGGTTGAGTTGAATTGGAAGTGACTGACTCAGAGTGATGAATGAACTCTGTGGTCAGGTGGGAACTTGAGCATGGACCTCCTAGTCCAAAACCACCTACACCAGTTGAAACTTCTTTAAAGGAGAAAAGACAACCATTTTTTCAGATAGATATAAGATTCCTATATTTCTCATAGTGATGGTCTGTTTCCCCACACATTCCGAGTCCTGCATGTTTCTCTTCCAATTGGCTCCACTGAGAAACCAAGAAAGCTGATGGTCCATTTGTTTGTCAGTGCTTCTGCTATCTCTTCCCACCTGTGCACAAGAACAGGCAAACAGCTAATCCCATTAGAGCAAGAGCACCGATGCTGATGCCTATCACTAGTGGAGTGTGTGAAGGTCCTTCACGTTGCCCTGCAAAACGAAAGAAAAGATTTAGGCCTGCTTTTAGGCAGATTTTGTTTTTTGTTTTTTTTGGTGGATGATGATGGAGCCGGGGAGGGAGAAAACAACATGTTAAAATGACTTCCAACAGAACTTATTTCAAATGCTATCTAAATGGAAGTCTTGCAGGAAGAAAATCTTAAAAGGAAGTGTCTAGTGATGATTTACTGTACAGAGATAGATTTTTTTTCCCAAGCTAGAACTATACCCTGGAAGACAAGCAAGCAACCACACATGCAATATTTATTTTGTACAATAGTTTGCCCTAAGTGATGGGATCACAGACCCTATTCTGCCCATCCTCACATCACCTTATGAAACACTTCCTTTTTAAATCCCTCTAGTCCCTATTTGGGGTAGAGTCAGTGCAGCTGGATGGAACTGAGCATTTACTGATTGGATGCCCTTCCTAAAGATCAGGTATTTTATTTTCCTGTTTCATTTTTCATTTCTAAGGTTATTTCTTTCTATTAAGAAAAAAGCAAAATACTGCAGAATTTTGCTCTTCAGTGTTATTGAGATGGCAGCGTCACTTTTATTGCATATCGTTTCCTCTTAGAATTAGTGAATAAGAAGAATTGACTGAGCCAGGATAATTTGTCAGGCTACCTGTCTAGCCAAGTGCTTCTCTGCAACTATCAATTGTTTCACATACCAGTACTAGCTTCTTTGTTGTTAGTATGCGCCCTTACAAAGTTGACACATGTTTCTTGTAGGAAGAACTGTAGATTGGTGGTTGTCTCTGGGAATTGATTCAGCTTCTTACTGGTATAATTGGCCACAAGAGTGTTAGACAAACCTTCCCAGTTATTACTATTTGTGTGAAATTTCAGGAAATCGCTCCCATTCAGCAAAATCTTGTAGAAGCTTCTGGTGCCATTTTCAGACACTTCGCACCCCTTTGTGCAATATATGGATATGGGATCTGCAATCAAAATGTTCGTTAGAAAAATATTTATTTGAGTATTTATTTGAACATCATACACAAAGTAATGCAGCATAACAGAACAAATGAAGCACTGAAACTGAGGCTTGCAAACATTCTTATACAATATGCATCTTTCCAATTGTTTTATCGTAACTTCCATAGAATCTATATATTTTTAATTTTTTAAAAGTGAAAATTACCAATTTCCAAAAAACTAAAAGTTAAATACTGTAAGTGAAAAAAGTGCAAAGAAATATAAAAGGGGGGGGGTTACAAAAGTGGCTTCCAATCTTCTATTTTACTTCCCTTTTAAGGGACTCTCTTAAACAGACTTTGTGGACATCTATTAGACAGTGTAACTCCTTATTTTTGCTGCCAGTGCTATGAATCATGGAATTGGAAGTAACTTTACAAATTATTTAGTTCAATACTTTCCTTATTGTGGCATCTATTAGACTGACTGACAGATGACCATTCAACTTCTATTTGGCCTTCAGCAGAGAAGAATTATGGCAACAGTTCAGAAAATCAGGATTTCTAGCCTAAACCTCTTATATGTAGTTTTAACTCACTGGGTCTGATCCTGCCCTCTGGAACATTAGAGAATACATCCACTTGTATCTGATAATCCTTCATTTTTAAAAAAACTACCATATCTTTCTTGGGTTCTGTAGGTCAAACATACTTGAATCCTTTAATCATTCTTTATAAAGCTTCTTCCAGACTCTACCATCTTGGAAATCATCCCCTGAACCTGCTCCAATTTGTTATTGCCCTTTTTTGACCTTTAGGGCCCAAAAGTATAAGATCTTGACCATAGCCTGGATCTATTTTACAGGGACTCCTACCAAACAATATCCCCCACATTATACTTGAGCCTTTTCTTTTTCCTACCCAGATGCGGAACATTACATTCTATTAAATTCCATTCTGTTTATTTCAGTGTACTATTCAAGCCTGAATCTTCCATATCCCATAAAGTATTGGCCATCCCTCCTTCCTTAGTACTGCAAATTTTGTAAGTATCTTCTCAACTCCCAAGTCAATAATAAAAAGTTGAACAGTACAGGGACATGGAAGGACTTTACACTGCTGACTTTCCTCAAGCTGACATGCAGCCATAACTGGTACCCTCCGAAGTTCACCTAATTATAGTATGAGTATTTTACCATTTATGGAGAATACCTTGAGAAACTCAAAGTCTTTGATGAGTTCCAAATGCAGCATTGCTGCAACATCCTCCCCATCTAACATAGTAATTAACAAAAGAAACAACATTAACCTGTCATATTTTGTTTGCAACAAACCCGTATTAGCTCCTGTTAGACATAGCATGGCTATCTAATGATCACAAGCATGTTTGTCAGTTCCATATCTCCGATGAAATAATTCCATTTATTTTCTCTCTTAATAGACAACCCCTTTCAGGTGTTAATTTGAAAATGTGAGCAATTCAGTTTAACAGAAAGAAGGGGTACAGTGGATTGAGTGATAATACAAAATAGATGTGATAACATCACTTGTAAGTCTGGAATTTTTCAATTCTTTTATTATTTTTTGTTGCTAGGAAGTAAGGCTTTGCTTTTGAAATTGCTTTTAGAAATTATATTGCATACATTTCCCAACTCAAAATAGTGAAAATGATATTTTCATCAGTCATAAATGTTGGTGCTCAGCAATACCATCTTATTTGGCAAAAAGTCTATTGCCTTAATATATACTCCCAACTATTGCCACCTTAAAAACTCCTTCATTACTCACAGGATATGATCTTTTCCTTAGAGAGTATCATAACCATTCCCTGGAAGCTCTGCAGGTATTTGTGCAGTTTGCTTTCCGTCTGTTCCCAGAGGTTTGGTGCCTCTAATGATAACAATTGGCTCACATTCAGCTGTTCAATATCACCCTCCAAGCTATGGCTCAGTATCCCATCTAGGACGGCATTGCCCACAAATTCCGCAGAGTTCTCTTTTGAAAAGTTGGCAGTCAATGACATGATGAAGGTATGAGTTTCTGAGGGGAAAAAATGAGATAATCAAGCCAGTGGAAGCAATAGTTTTAAGCAGTGCTTTTTTTCTTCAAAAAAAAAGGTGCTGGAACTCATACATGTCATACAACCCGCCTTGCCTACCCTACAAGGTTCCATCCAAAAAAGGTGCCGGAACTCCCTTCTGGGCGTTCTATGAGAAAAAAAGTCCTGGTTTTAAGTCCATTCTTCCCAGTCTACTGCTTCTGGCTAGACAAGTGAGGGATGACAGGAGGATGGCTCAATCCTCACCTTCCCTCCCCTTAAAAAAGGAAAGGAAATCAGCCTGGCTGCTCTTTGTATCTCACTCTTTTTCTCTTCCTTTGTTTAAAGGCATCCTGTAGTCTTAACTGAAAAAAGCAGAGGGATTAGTACAGGAAATATTGCACATTCAGGAAGGAGTGGTTGCCTGCCTAATTTTCCCTTTGAGAAAATATTTCTCATAGCACTGACTGTGGCACTGATTGGATGACTGCCAAGGCATATATGACCCAGACTGCCAGGCACCATTGTTTATGGTGGCCTCAACATTCTTCCTCTGGTGCAAGAAATGTGGCTAAGAGAATAATCTATCGCTTCTGAGATCATCCACCATCCACCAGTGGCCAAGTCATTTTCCTGTTTTCCTGTCAAGTTATCTGGTTCACCTTATTTTTAGTTAAAAAAATAAGAGGGGATACTTTTTGATAGCCAGAGCTATGCTTAATATTCTGGGGAAACCAAAGTTCCATGATAAGCAATATAATGATGCAATTGTATGAAGATTGTTTTTCTCCTTGATTTTGAGACTGTATTTTTTTCATTTAAAAAACAATGTGAAGCTGATTTACACTACGGTTTTTATTTATTCTGTGCCTTAAAATATGCAAGACTGAGAGTGAAGATAGGAAAAAGACAAGCAATTGGCTCAACCATACATCTGGGAGAAGAGAAATTGTTTTTGCAAGGCGCGTAGCCAATAATAAAACAGGAGATAGATTCAACATTGAGTCACTAACTCCTAAAAAACTGTGGGATATGGGTGCATTTGGAAGGCATGGATGTATATGGGGCATGTGCCTGAACATGAGAAGAAACTCCAAGCTTAAATAAGAGAAGCTCCCTGAAGTCTTCAGGCTCCATTAAAACTGGATACCAGCCTTATCTCGTGGGATTTTTCCTTATTTTAAAACATGGTTACTCTTTAGAACATGGTAACTATTGCACAATATCCCAACCCTGAAGAATCTTTTTAGTTAATCATTTGCACAAATTTGTCCTGACTACTCCAAAAGGAATAGTCCTAAATTCACTCTATGCACGAGGCTGATAATTATTACTAATCTTTTCCAATTTAGAGTTCTGCATCTAATACTGTCAATCTTGGAAGATAATAGAATTTTATCTCTAAGTAAACATTTACATGATTGTAATATGGTTCTTTCGGTCTAGCACTAATTTCCAAATCATGACTGGGAGTTCAAAACAGATTATTTGTAAATTTCAAAATGTCATTAAAATATTTTTTACTGATTTGGATGAAGCATGAAATAAATGTACAGATAAAGTTTTGATCCATTCACTCTATTTCTGCATAAATGTACTTAGAAGTGTACAAATGTACTTCCACAGTTTTCAGTGGATACAGTCCCCAGCAAATGATATTTAGGATTACTGAACTAGTAAAATGTTTTTAAAACCCAACATAAATAAAAATATATTTATTTTCTTCCTAAACAATAGTAGGATTAGCCCCAGGCAAATAATTTTAAAGAGGCTATTCTATAACTTGGTATTATAGATGATCCACCATCAGGTGTATGAATTAGATCTGTGAAAATAAGTGGTTATGAATAAGAAAGAAAGATCCATGGATACACATGTTAATCTTTCACAGCCAATATCACAGTGGTATAGACTAACATATTCTGCTACTTTTCACAGCTCATATTTATAGTGTTTAGCCAGCTTTATATTCACCCTTCTTGTTCCTTACTCAGAAATCTAGTTAAATCACAGAATACTCACTTATTCCAGTTTTAAATCAAGACAACATGATTTTCCAAACTTACCTTCACCATATGCCCAGTAATAGAGAGTCCAAGACTGGAGAAGAATTTGCAGGAGCAGCATTCCCAATCAGGAGTCACTTATTTGCAAAACCAGGAACACTTCAGTGTTGTTAGTGAAGTAAGGTGTCTCGAAAGAAAACCTCGAAGTCTTTTATATGTCAAGCCAATATGTGTTAGTATCTCTGGGAACTACAAGCACCACCAGAAATCAGGGAGTTTCCTTTGCCAGGACTGGGCTGGAAGAGAGAGGGTACGGCTGGCTGGGAAGAAGCGGGTGGAGCATGTTTTCATCTTTCTATTTCCTCATGTTTAGCAAAGGAACTTTTTTCCTTGCCAGATCCGCCTCCTCCTGCTTCTCTCACAGCTGTGCAGGCTGTAGCTGGAAAATGGTTTTAAAATGCCAACCATGACTCTGCTTTTGCCAAGTATAGTATTTAGGACTGAGAGACAAGGCAAACAAAACATGAGAAAAAGATCCAATCAAAATATCAGCAAAAATAATATTCACAAAGGACAGAAAGAGGGCGTCTGCAGACAGTATAACCTGGATCATAGTGCCATTTGAAATTTCAAGTTTTGAGATTAGATATATAAAGATATTTTATTGCACACTACCCAAAAAGAGATATTCCAAGCCTGCAGCATTGGAGCGACATATACTGTAGAATGTCTTGGGTCCAATATCTGAGACAAAATAGAACCCAAGCAACAAATCCAATACTGTAACAGAGACAATTCCTATATCCTTATCCATTCGTTTCATCCATTATATACTGTATATACAGAGTGTGTCAATAGTTTGCCTAGCCACATGGGCTGATACTGCTATTGTATGCCTACAGTATTCCACAAAGACAGCCAGTATAAACACAGGTAGTCCTTATGACCACAATTGTTACTGAGTCAGTTAAGTGAATTTTGCCCCATTTTATGACCTTTTTTTCTATTATCCTCACAACAACTCTGTGAAGTCAGTTAGGCTGAGAGAAAGTGACTGGCCCAAAATTGCCTAGCTGTATATATAATATTAATAGAATAGCAGACTTAGGCAATATAAAGTTGCCACTGGCAATATCTATTTAAATGCAGAACAGAAATATTACAACACCAAGAATTACTAAATGCATTCAAATGCTATAGCTGTTGCACGTGGAACTATTTGTAAGCAGCAGAGGTGCATCATTCTGCTCTTTCTCTCACTTCTTTGCAGAAAACTGAACGGTGGCCTTAAAAGTCCTGCTGGCAGAAACCCACTGTGGGAAATTGGCATGAAACATTGCATCAAACCCCAAAAGCGTAACATTGTAATTATGGGCAGAAGAAAAACAGATCATGTTACGTTTCACAAAAGTTAGACATGCTTGGAATTTTAAGTTGCTTCTGTCTATGGACAAAACTACAAACAATCCCATATTTATAACATGCATATGCAGCCTATCTGAGTGGCAAGAAGTTTCAGCAATTCTTTGCAGCATCTATTCAGTGTTCAGTTTCAACAGAAAAAAAGAAAGAATTGACATATTTCTGAGAGAGAGAAAGAAACTGAGAACTCAGAACATAATCCTGCTCCCATCCAAATTCCTATGAGAATGCATGGTGCCACAGAATTCCCACAAAGAGCAGTATCAACCCTGAGCCTCCTCTTCAAGTCCAAATTAGTCCAGAGAGGGAGAGTGTATAAAACTAAAAATAAATGCTTCATACATGAAACAAAAACATTGTACTCCAGAAGTTCTACTGAACTATTCTGAATGAGTCACAGTTTGTCAGAAATAAAATCCAGAATGTTTTTGTTGTATATGATTTCAACCAAAAACAAAACCCTCAGAGATAATTTTACATGGAAGAAAGACAAGGCTGGTCCATGCCTCTGAATTTCTCCTTTTCTTTTCTTTTCAGCTTTCAATGATGTCCTTCCACCAGCCCTCCCTTCCTGCTGATCTTCTTAGCACTAGTCCTCTTTTTTTTCCTCTGCAAACCTCAGTCAGGCTGTTGTCAACATCCCAACTGAAAACTTGTAGTTCAAAGTATAAACTGTTTTATATAACTCTATTCCAGACTGATTTTTTTACTTATTTGTATCACCATTCTAGCTATTGTCTATCCACTGCAGGATGAAGGCCTCTTCTTGTTTCCAACCAATACAGTCCTGAGCTTTCTTTTGCCAATTGGGCCAATACTTGCTGATGTCATCAATCCATCTTGTTTTAGGTCTCTTTCGTGGATGCTTTTTATCCAGTAGGATCCATTCTATGACACTTTTGGTCCACCTGCCATCAGTTCTTCTTGCTATGTGACCAGCCCGTTTCCATTTCAATTCTTTTACTCTCTTGATGATATTATATACTTTTGTTTGTTCTCTAATCCATGGGCAGATATTTCTATCTTGTCTTGTAATGCCAAGCATGTATCTTTCCATGGCTCTTTGCACCACTCATAGCTTTTGTATCAATTGTGAGGTTAGTGTCCATGTTTCACAGGCATCTGTTAGAACAAGTAGCACACATTGATTGAAAACCTCCCCCTATGCCTGAAAAGTTTTCGATCAACTTATTTGTATACATATGTACTTCTCACACAACCTTCCCCTTGACTTTTCATGAGCTAAAAAATGGGTTATCCCAACTACCAGCATAATTGCTGTGCATATATGAAATGCGCATCTCCAGAACTTTAACTTTCAACTGTCTTGTCTCAATGCCTGCGTTCACATTATTTTAGCCTAACATTTTGTATAAACCAACTGTGAATCCAGTCGCAAATCTCACTTACATTATTAATAGTTAAGTTAACCAAGAGTTTATTCTCTAAGCATAGCCTGAAAATTCCAATAACTTAAAACATCCATACTGATAATTCGAGAGTCAAATTTACAGATTTGGATTGGATTTAATGGAATCACCTTGACCACTCACAAGGCCATTATGTTTTTGGTAAATGATATTATTGAATAAATCTAGTCAGATAGAAGAGTCCCAGAGAACAATGAAATGACAAAAATGCTGACAACGGTCATCATGATGTCTATTCGCTGTTTAGTCAAGATGTCTAAGAAAGATTAAAGAATTAGCTGAGCATAACAAGGTTTTACCCTCTTTTTAAAAAAAAAAAACAAAAAACAAACCTTTCCTGTACTCTAATCCAGTTTTTTTATTCTGAAGAAACAAAAGGCAACAGAATCAAATTGAATGGTAGTAACACAAACAACAATCCTGACTCTTCACTCATGGTTTATATATCACATGAGTACAACCATTTTCCACTAATGTTAGCTTCTTCTGATCTATCCATATAAATATTTTTTCCAGTCCTATTTACAACAGCATCACCTTCCTCAATTCCTTCCCTATACTCTTTTATACAATTATTACATATGAAAAATACTTTTACCAGCAACCTTTAGAAAAAGAGCCACAAAGATACCAACTGCCCTACCAGCTTCTTTTTTAAGATGAATCATTTGGCATAAAGTCTGAATCATCCACTTCCTGCTTGTAAAAGGATCATCTGTCCTTGATGTTGCTCATTCAGTAGCAGCAGCAGCAGCTGGAGAGGGGAACTGTCAAATCAGGCAAAATAGTGGATGAAAATCCCATCCCTTGTATAGATGCACTGGTGTCATTTGCATGTACAAAGAGGAGACTAAACAATCCTGTTGCAGTCAATAACTTACCTATTTTTATTCTCTTAGGCTGCTTTTGCTACCAGGTTCTCTTCATGTGCAAATATTTGGGAAGAGGTAGGAAGGATCTTATTTAATTATGGGGCGCTGTCACAAAACAATCAGGGAGAGAGAGAACAGGTGAGGGGTTTTTGGGAAATTATTTGCAGGGAGATATATGATGAGCAACTGAAATCTAGCTATTATAAAGAGTGGAGGGGAGACCAGTGGCTGATCTCCCTTCCTTTCAGTCTACAATCTTATTAATGGTGTGACAATGACAGTGATGGAAGACCCTTTAATCTAAAGATCTAACTTTTTTTAATGCTAAGTCAGTTTCTGACAAAGTATCTATCTAGGATTTAATCCTGGACAAAACACTGATTTGGCATTTATCATAGATATCTGGATAAGAGTAGAGGGGAATTAATTTCTTCCAGTTTTGTGGATGAATTACTGTATAAAGTAGCAGGCTAGCTTGGAGGGTAGGGAGGTATGTGGTATAGTGTAAGGGACATAAGGAGTAAGAAGGCAGCCATGATATGTTATGCTTGATCGAGGTAGTTAGAGATGTGAGTTGTTATGATAAAAGTAAGTTGGTAAAGTCAAGAATTTAGTTATGAGGAAGGATGTGAAAGACTGCTTAGCCAAGAAGGCCATAATTTAGGGAAGATGATTAAAAAACCAAGGGGCTATCATAAAGGGAGCTCAAGGAATGTACTTATATTGTCAGGGATTGTTAGAAGTCTGTTATCAGCATAAGGAATGTGCTAACTTCTGACTTTGGTCTGTACTATATATATGCAATGTATGTTTTATTTTACTTCTTTACTGTCCTTCCTTTGGGAACAGCATTTTCTTTTTTCTAAAATAAACTTTTTGGGTAGTGCTGAGCTTCAGAATTTAATGACCGTGATCTAGGAATGTATTTCTTGATGTTTTGCTAGCAACTGTGGCTAACATCCTGAGAGGCAAGGTGAGCAGGAACTAACTGGGCTCCTATCTTTAAAACTAGGTGACCTGACTGCAAGTGAGTAGGCTAAACACCAATCGAAAGTCAAGAGTGTTGTTGAAGCTGACTGTTTTGTAGTATACAGAAATAGCCTAACATTTAATATCACTTTTAAACACACTCTTCCCTCCAGTGGATTTCAAGCACCACTTTGGTTTACCAAGGAATTCAGACTGATGAAATGGACTGCTGGAGAGCTTTAGCAAAGTGGAAAATGCTCAGAAGTGGAAAAAGTAGCAGTAGATATTGTGAAGACAGCATAAACCCCTGGTACAAGGACTGCATAGCTTCCCCCAAAGTAAATTAGATTCTAATTCTGTAATTGTGTCTGCACAAAACAGGCCCACGTGTTTTTCCTTATTGTAAGTCCTTCAAGATAATGGGAAAGAACCAAAACAGTCAGAAGAGATTCACCATAAGCAATTTTTATTGGGTTGTTTTTTGTAGATAAGGTTAATGAGTATTTTTCAGACTCATCATTCTGAAGGTCACCAATAGCTTTAAATAGTTAACAGGCAATTTCCAAAAGTTTCACATGGTGAACATCTTCATTGATGAATTATTTATTTTTATTCCAGTGTATTTCCTCATCACTTACTGCTAGCTCTGAGTCCAGTGGTTTGTGTAATCATTTAGGATATTTGACACCAATGCCCATCATGCTTCACTTGTTCACAATCAATGATATGTCATTTTGATGCCTATTTTCT